TTGGAAAGAAGCATGGATTATTTTCTAAATGGGGAGAAAATTCAGAAGTCTGAAACGCAAAGAGACTTGAGAGTTCTAGTCCAGGATTCTCTCAAGATAAACTTGCAGGTTGAGTCAGTAGTCAGGAAGGCAAATGCAATGTTGGCATTTATTTTGAGAGGACTTGAATATAAAAGCAGGGAAGTACTACTGAGGTTTTATAAGGCTCTGGTCAGGCCACATTTGGAGTATTGTGTGCAATTTTGGGTCCCATATCTCAGGAAGGATGTACTGGCCCTGGAGTGGGTTCGGAAGAGGTTCACGAGAATGGGCTCCAGAATGGAAAGCTTAACATTGAGGACTTTGGGACTATACTCATTGGAGTTTAGAAGGATGAGGGGGAATCGAATTGAAACTTTCAGAATACTGAATAGCCTGGACAAGACAGATGATGGGAAGATGCTTCCATCGGTAGGAGAGTCTAGGACCCGAGGGCACAGCCCTCGAGTAAAGGGAAGACTTTTAGAACGGAGATAAGGAGAAACTTCTTCAGCCAGAGAGTGGTGAATCTATGGAATTCACTGCCACAGAAGGCTGTGGAGGCCAGGTCATTGAGTACATTTAAGACTGAGATAGATAGGTTCTTGATTATCAAGGGGACAAAGGGTTACGGGGAGAAAGCAGGAGAATGGGGTTGAGGAACTTATCAGCCATGATTGAATGGCGGAGAAGACTCGATGGACCGAATGGCCTAAGTTTCTGCTCTTATGTCTTATGATCATAACCACAAAAAGATCTTTGGCATTACTGGATACAAGTTCGAAAATTATCATCCTCAATATTTATTTCTGTCATAATCCTTCAATCTTCATATTTATGTATGGCCCTCACAACTTCATTATAAGTAGGCAACTTCCATCAAAATCCTGCACCCTTTACTTTTACTGAAGTATATCAAAATGGGAGGAAGAAAACACCAGCTGTAAGTCTACACTCCTACATTTGGAGCAAAAGAAATTCTTCAGGTACAGAAAGGTAGCTGCAACTTCTGCTTAATATGTAGACATTCACTCATCCTCATTCCAGAACATTCATTCACACATGCAGCTACTCTCTCCTGAACATGCCTTTCTCTCAGATTCACAAATGGACTGCTAGACATCTACAGTGTTTATCACAGGTCAACTTGCAGACAAACTGTACCACAGTAATGGGTCTGAATGTGTATTAAACCTTTGGCAAAGGAGTTTTTTAAAATTGAAAAAAAAAGCTTAGCAAGTTACTCATTACTCATGGATGCACTACCTGAATGTATAGTGCGCTAGTTGGGCCAAACAGCAATTCCTGATCGATTTAATTGAAATCCATATGCATTAGTTAAAAGTGTATCTGTTTAATGAATAAACCCTCACATTGCAAAGAAGTTCAGACTGTAAATGATGTAGATTGAAATTACTTTGAAGTTTATTCTGGCTTCCACAAAACATATTTTTGAAAAGCTGGTGTGACTCGAGTGCAAAGTTGTTTCCTATCTTTTCAACTTGCTTGCAATTCTTTAATACGAGCTAGCCTATTTCCAGAAGCACCTCTTCTTACACCTACGGCATTTTGTACAGAGGGTTGAAGTGAAGCTGTCCCAGAGGTAATTTTTGTCAAGTAGTTTGAAAAGAAACGTTGGTTTGTGAAGAATAACTGATCAAAAGGTTCTATTTGACTTTGTAGAAAAGAAAGTCAGTAAAATAATCACTTTACTCTAAATTTGTGAAAAAGTCAATTTTTAAGTAAGTTATGGTACAAATACATTTAGGGTGCAACCAGGATGAATTGCTGTTGTACTATTGTAGGAGTAATTACTTAGTAACTAGCCAGCATCTTTCTGGTTAGGATTCAGTTGACAGCATTTTATGGCTTGGTCAATTTCACTTTCAACACTTCAGATCCATCAAATGAGAGTTTTTTTAAAAGTTAGTTTGCAAAATCATCCACAAACTCTCAGCTTCTATGACAAAAGGAGGGCATAGGTTTCGTATAGAGGTCGTGCTGATGAGAATACAGCTGTGAACCAGGATAGATAGTAAGAACTGCCGATGCTGGAGTCTGAGATCACACAGTGTACAGCTGGAGGAACACAGCAGGCCAGGCAGCATCAGAGGAACAGGAAAGCTGATTTTGTGAAGAAGGGTCCTGACCAGAAACGTCAGCTTTCCTGTTCCTCTGATGCTGCCTGGTCCGTTAAACAGGATAGATTGCTTCTAATGGAAAACTGTAGAGTGTAAAGAGTAGCAGGTACAGGAACTGGAAACAGTGTTTCTGATGTTCTCACTGTGCTCAAAGACACATTCTAGCAATCTGACATTAATGTCAACAGCTTGGAAAATTTCACAGCTGAATGCATGAGTTGTTGAGCAGTGATGCATGATGGTATGAACATCAACATAATCCTTTGTGAAGTGACAGTAGAAACAGGAAGTCTGTTTGCCCATGACAGGCTACTTGGATCTGTGAAAAGTGTAACAAGCTTTCATTTGAAATCAATCCAAAACTCACCAAAACTGACTTCTTCAATGAGTGGTATTGCCTTCCGAGTGTGGGACTCTGATCCCACCATGCTTTAAAAATTATTAAATTTTAATTAGATGTTCTTCCACATTCATATATATTTAAAGTAAAAGTCAAGGGAAATAATACAAGTAGAAACTGAGCAGCTGCTAGCAGCATCAAGTACATCACTGGCAAGCATCTTCTGTCTTGTTTTTCTTTGAAGAGAAGTTTTGAGCCAAAGACACCGAGCTGTCTCCTCCAAGCTAATAAACAACTTGTGAGGCCTTGGCGCATTTTTTAAAAACAAAAAGGAACAATAAAAGCAGCCTGAATGGGTAGAGTCAGATTTCAGCAGAACCAGGGTTTTAGTTCAGTTTTCAGGAGCTGTTGGGGGTTTGAAGCTGCTATACATTTCTCCCTTCTCTCACAAAACACTGGAGAGCGCTCGGAGAGAATTTTCTCTCAATGCTCTTTCCTCCTGGACTAGAGAATTGCCTATGAGACAATCTATTTTATTGAATTGGTCTTTGACAAGGGTGTGTTTATCGGATGTTACTATATTGAAACACTTGCTGTTTAGTAGTTAATTTATTATTCTTTTAAAGTTTTCCAAGAGTTAAAGTTAGACCAATTCTTCCTTCTTATGTTGTATTTTAACTGTAGAAAAAATTAGGGTCTAGGCTATCTTCTTGATATATTTGAAGGCGGCTTGGTCTGGTCCTTAACAACTGACATGGAGAACATCCAGGGTTTAAAATATTTAATGAACAAAACCTTCAGTGAACAATTTGTTTTATGTCTATGAATAGATAATAATTTACAGAAGAGAAGCTGAACAATATGTGAGGTGATGAATAGGCTACTAAGACCTTTCACTTCCCCCAACCTCATGTTCATTTATGCCAACAGCCCAGAGACAGTGTGTGAAGGATCATAATGCTGTTAATGCAACACCTCTTCAGTACTGAAATTCAAAATCAACTTTGGAAGGTATGTTTAAATCCTGGACTGAGTTTGGAAGATGCCTTTAATCTTTTCTTCTGGGTACTCGTGTCCATTGTCTTTTTTTTCAGATCTGATACAAGGATACGCATTAAATGCAACAAATGAAGTGAGAGCAACAATCTGAACATAAGCAGAAATGATGGAAATTCTTAGCAAGTAGGGTAGAATGTACAGCTTTCCCCATCCCTCCCTCAGTTTAGACACTTGAAACATTCTGAACAATCAGTAGCAACTGGCTTAGACCCAGAGTTGATAGTTTTGTTTTAAAATCATCTTGATGTTATGCTTTATATTTCAGGTTAAAAATAACCCTTCATGATGACCAGAAATATCAACTGCTTCCTCTGCAGATGCTGTCCAGCCTGCTGAGTATTTCCAGCATTTTCTGTTTTTAATTTGTAGATTGAACATCCATGATGTTCTGATTTTGTGCTGAACCAACTGCTTAGTTGAAATGCAGGGTGTACTCACAGACTGTTAGGATGTGCAGGGTCACTAAAATTTAACTCACCATAAAACAGGGTAACTTTCTTTAAAAAAAGGCTGCACCTACACACTACTTTGTGATTTGTTTATTCGAAAAGATAATTAAACGGAGAATGAGGTTTTAATGTTTGTTTTGTGACTTTAGTTCAGCTAAAGCTGAATGGTAACTTTTAGTATATGACTCACTATCAGGGAAGTTAAAATGAATAGCTCCATTAGTGAATTATCTATCGTTAAGTGACGGGTTGATAACTCTTTACACAATTTCCTTATCTTCAAAGAACAATTCCAACAGTTTGTTATTTTCATGAAGTTTTTTTGAGATACTATTACATAATCTGCTTTATGACGGTTGCTTAAAAAAGAAAAATAATTCATACAGCATGCAATGTTAAATTGTTTGTATTAGATTTAGGAATGACGTAAGATTTGTCAAAAACAGTGGCAAAGCTCCCTATAAAACAAGTAACAGGACATTTATGGCTAGTACATTTCTCTTTACTTCACCCACTCCAAATCACTTATTGAGCCATGTTGTTAGGATCAAAATTCCTTTCCCTGCTTCACTATTGGCAGTGGTTGGTGAGGCGCAAATGAAACAATTATATTACTGTCCAAGTAACTGAAGCTCCTTATTCAACTGAGTTATCTAATGCTCTCTAAAATGGATCATGAATCATCCAGTTTTTCTTCAGTCTATTCACACAAACACCACCCTTGGGGAGTGAAAAAGATGAGACACATATACTTATCATCTAACCAAAGCTCACTCTCTTCTTGTTGGCAAATTGTTATCTGAACCTTTCTACTTAACTTGATAGGGATGGTGAGGGTTATTTTGTCAAGATATAGAATTACACTTTGTACATTAAAAGCAGTAAAATCCCAATTTTCAATGAAATAACCACAGTTGCTGAGTTGTACTCATGCTTGGATCAGGAAAGGCAATGTCTAATTAAAGAAGTGGATTAGACATACAACAGCTTAGATTCCATTATGTTCGATTTATTACAATATTGGCAAAAAAAAATTCAACATAATTTTAAAAACCAAGCAAGTATTTTATAATTCACATTTTATAACAAGCAAGGTAAACATAAAATTAACAACATGCTTCATTTTGCTGACATTATTCAGTGAGGTAGTGTGTTAAATAGGGTTACAAACAAAGTCCAAGTATGTAATCTTCTGTTAAAACATAAAACATATCAAAGCAACAAGGAATAAGTAACCTTGTCAATTCTCTTCAATTTACAATAATACGATAATTACACATTTTTGAAAGAAATTAGGCTTGCATTAAGTAGTTGCTTTGGATAATGGGCCTTGCTACTTGTTTTTAACAAATTTGCTATAGACACTGTGGTGGCAATTTTGACTTTGGATAGTAGGGAATTGGGAGAAATGAAAATGGACTTCTCATTTGCTGGTTCTGGTTTACACAATCCTTCAAATTACCCCAAATAAGTGTTTGCATACAAACTTGGCCATTTGAGATTTTTCCACCAAATGACTCATACAAATTTGGCTTGCTGTAGTGACCATGGACAATTGTCAAAACAAATTTAAGATAAAATTTTAAAACATAAAAATATTAATCTGTACAGTACTATATTCACTTGGGTCCAGTCTTCTGTTTCTATATATACACCAGTGTAGCGTGACTTCTGGTCCTAGAATTTGTGTTTCGTGTTAAAACAGATTATAGGGGAAGATGAGCAGGGAACCAATGCAAGGAAATAAACAATGATAAGATATGATATCGACAGTTGCAGTATCAACAGGGGCCCAGGGTTTGGTACTGTTTAATTACCACTTTAAAAGAATTGTATACAATCACAGGTATACAATATTGAATAAAAGCAGCTTTAAAATAATTGATTCATTTAACCGCCCTTAAGTAGTTGCTTTAAAATAGGCCTCAATTTGTTCCAATGTTCTCCCTTTTGTTTCAGGGACAAAGAAAATGGTGAAGAGCAGATTCATGAAACAGAAACTTGAAAAGAGCCAGAAGGTCCCATACTGGGTAATGTTTTCCTGAAACAAAATTGAATCATTTGAGATTTTCTGGTAATATAAAAAAGTTATTTAAATACTTAAAAGAAACAAAGGAATATACTAATATTTATGCATAAAGTGAACAAAAGCACTGACTAATTTCATAAAGGGCATGACTTTTACTACAAAATGGTAGCAACAAATTTTATTCCTTCTTCCACATGTAGCAGCGATCTTCAATGTGTAACAAGCAATATACATAGCTTCTATTTGAATGCTGATATTTTTGACACCTCTCAAATCTTTGACAGATAGAGTATAAGGTGGAAAAATGTAAGGTTGTTACAAACCTTAAATAGGACCTGATCAACAACCAATTTCTCATCGGCTAGTATTTGAAGTAGTCTCTATTTCGTCATTTAGTGCTTTACCTTTCAAGTAAAACATTCAGATATTGTTTCTGATTCAATGTCTGAATAGGCTGTTTGGTATCTCTCAATTCCACAGTCTGCTGTATTTCTATTAAAGAAGATGGACTGAACATCACAACCCTGTTCTTTATACTTTTTAAAGTTAGATTTTCAAAAATCATATCCAATAACTGATTCATGAGCTCCTCTTCTTGCTGTCTAATTCTACAGGCTCCGAGATCACAGAAGCATAGAAAACAAGTACAGAAGTAGGCCATTCAACCCTTTGGCCTGCTTCAACATTCAATGTGATCATGGATGATCATCCTACTAAGTACCATGTTCCTGCTTTCATTCCATACCCCAGTCACAAATCAGGTGGTAAACAATCTAGGACGCTCCCTCCTGTAATATTTCAGGTTCTTTTATCTCCATTGGTTGTTCCACTATCATTAGCCAACATTCTTGAGACTGGCAGGTTATTTCCCAAAATAAAATTAATTCCCTCTATAGGAATTTGTTTCACTGTTCATATTACAATTTCTCCATTTACCAAGTAATCCAACTCTGTATAATGGGTCTAATTTGTAACTTCCCTATTCAAGTTCAATTAATATTTTCTGCATCATTAACCATTCTGGAAGGCAAATAATATCATCAGACAATGTCAGTGACTGACTTAGTCATACAGCTGTATAGCTCAGAAACAGACCCTTTGGTTCAACTTGTCCATGCTGACTAGATAATCTAAATTAATCTAGTCCTATTTGTCAGCATTTGGCCCATAATCCCTCTAAATCTTTCCTATCCATGTACCCAACCAGATACCTTTTAAATATTGTTACTGTATCAGTCTCCACCACTTCCTCTGGCAGCTCATTCCATACATGGACCACCTTCTGCATGAAAAGTTACCTCTTCAGTCCCTTTAATATTTTTCCCTCTCACCTTAAACCTATGCCCTCTTGTTTTGGACTCTCCTTCCCTGGGAAAAAGACCTTGGCTAATCCCTCTATCCATGTCCTCATGATTTTATAAACCTCAGTAAGGTCACCCCTCAGCCTCCAATGCTCCAGGGAAAATATCCCAGCCTATTCAGCCTCTCACTATAGCTCAAACCTCCAAGCCTGGCAACATCCTTGTAAATCTTTTCTGCATCCTTTCAAGTTTAACATCTTTCCTAAAGCAGGGAGACCAGAATTAAAGACAGTATTCCAAAAAGTGGCTTAACCAATGTCCTGTACAACTGCAACGTGAAATCCTAACTCCTATATTCAATGCACTGTCCAATAAAGGAAAGTGTACCAAACGCCTTCTACACTACCCTGTCTACCTGTGACTCTAACTTCAAGGAACTATGAACCTGAACCCCAAGGTATCTTTGTTGGCAACACACCCAGGGCCCTAACATTAAGTGTACAAGTCCTGACCTGTTTGTCTTACCAAAATGCAATACCTCTTTTTTCTAAATTAAACTCTATCTGCTACTCCTTGGCCCATTGGCCCATTGGCTCATCTGATCAAGGTACTGTTGTACTGAGATAACCTTCACTGTCCACTACACCTCCGATCTAGGGGTCATCTGCAAACTTTCTAACCATTCCTCCTATATTCACATCGAAAGGGACCAATCACTGATAGCACACCGCTGGTCACAAACCTCCAGTCCAAAAAACAAACCTCCACCACCACCCTCTGTCTCTGACCTTCAAGCCGAATTTGCAACCCACATGGCTAGCTCTCCCTGGATTCCATGTGATCTAACCTTGCTAACCAGCTTACCATGCGGAACCTTGTCTGCTCCACTGTCTCTTAATATCCTCATATGTTTGAATCAAGTATGTAAACCAAAGGAAATACCTCCTGTTTGAGTTGAAATATTTAACCTCCAGCAGTTTCAGAGACTTCATTTCAGCATTCAAAGACAACATTTCACAATTGTCCTGAACCATTGCTCCCTTCTGTAAATATTCTGAGAAACCATGTTTGCCTCCTCAGTAAATGTAGGCACTCTGCAGCTTATTACTTAAATTAAATTCCTCCTTGGAACCAGAATCATTCTCAGAGCTAATACTTCTTTCTTCACTTTAAGCATTTCTTATGCTTAAACACCTTTTAAAAAATTTCTCCCTCTTTGGACTTAGTTGCTTTACTTCCAAGTGCCTTTGCTTTTGTTTTTTATCTCAGTTTCCATTTCAAGTATTCTTAACTTAATGTCCTTCTTTTTCTCTTTCCTTGCTTTCCCTTAGAGACTTTATTTTTCTTCTACCATATATACATGTGTAAAAGTCGAATTTTTTAAGACTTTTTAAAAGGTTAAGTTTAGGGGGGATTGACTATTACATTGATACTACTTTTGAGGGGCTGAAATTCATGCTACAGTCCAAAACACCGCATCATTAGCGGAAGCCCAATTATCTCTAAATGAATAAAAGAAACAAAACAGATTATCGTAATTACTGTAATATCTTATCTTCTAGTTCTGCACAAAAGCTGTTGGCTATCTTACTTCTCTGCAAAATACTAAGTCATGCCTTCTCATGAACCTTGTACACCATCTAGCACTCGTCTTAAAATCCAAAATTCCATCTTTTGATTCGTTTCATGCATGGATTCAGATGGTTTCATGACTAATATGTTGTACGTTTTGTCAATTTTCAAGTACCCACTCAGCAACTTTTTTCTCCAATTGTGGCCACTTGCTAGATCTACTTCTGTTGGTACACTTTCATTTTAGCATTGTCTGAAGTTGGTTTGATATCTTTCTCAAGTTTCTGCGAATGCAAAATTATCTTGCTGCTACAGTTATTCGTCTTCTCTGCAACTTCAATAACTTTCAGTTTAAATGCTGCTTTTTTTTTGTTTTGTTCTGGAGGGCATTTTTACACAAAAAGAAGAAATTTCAAAACACATAACAGCACGAAAGAAAGTTCATTTCCTCATCGGAACATTTACGTACAGGATAATACCTTGATTCACAAAATGTTGATCTATTATCTGTGAAGAACTAGGGTCAGCGTTTACATGAGTTATATAAAACATGTCAGACTTTTTTTTGCCAAAAAAGGGTCAACTTATACATGAGATTGACTTTTACTCGAGTACATATGATAACTCAAATATCTTTTTATTTCTCACTACAACGCAGCTAATTCCAGTTGTGATATCCCAATTTCAGGTTTCCTTTCTTCCAATTCTAAACATTAGATAATCACATGAAACAGCTCATCCTTACAAAGGATCTTGCTTTTACTCCCAAGTTTAAATTTGCCTGCTAACATGCTGTTTCACTTTAGTCAAAAGTTTTCAAATGATCCACTAACATCTTCACCTTTCAGAAAAGTTTTAGCAACATTCGAAGCTATCTTCAAAATTTGTGCAATGATCTTTACTAGCTGACTGAAATCTAGTTTGGTAATTAATGTTTTTTTTTAAAAATGATCTGTGGTCTTTCACCGAAACAAACACAATACTGCAGATTTAATTTTAATAAAATAGAAAAGATGTAAAAAATGTTAAAACATAATAAACCATGCTATTTACATGTAACACAATTTTAAAAGATTTTGAAGCACATGGTAAAAATATAATCCCAGCTGTCTCAACATCACTTCACTCAACTATCCTTCGATATCCCATCTATAGGGGTAACTTAATCTGTTTCTTTCAATTCTTGGTCTTTAGAGTTTGATAGCTTTTCCTTGTATATTCACATATTTTAGGTTAGACTTTCTCAGCTTCACATAACTCCTTCAGGGTTTTAACCAAATACTTCTCAACTAGAACTTTCAAACAAAACCCTGTAACGCTGAGGTAATCTATTTTCTAACTAACCCTTTTTCTCCAAGAGAAACTTATTCTTACGTTTAACCAGAACTTTGCTAACCAAAACCAAAAGCCATTCCAATCAGAGTTCTTTCTCTAAGCAAAAATGAATTCTTGCTTCCTCAAAACAGAAAGAAAACTAATGATTTTCAATATTTACTGTTAGATCAAAACCCTCAACTCAAACAAGTTCCCATTATTATTCCAGTCAATTACAAAACCATTTCATACACAGACACAAACCCATGCAACCACTTCAAAATTCAAACTCAAACAAATGACAATATGTAAGAATCACATACATTGTACTAAATTGAACTGTGATGTAAAGAACAGAAAAAACAGATTATTAATCAATGGAAAAAAAAAACTGTATGAAAGGATCTCTATGTCCTTATTCATAAATCACGAAGGCAGCCTGCAGGTACAGCCCTTAATTAGTGGGGTGTCATATTAATAATAAGGATGTCTTGCTACAAGTGTACACAGCACTGGGGAGGTCAACAGGTTCGGACTCTTTACCTGATGGGGATATCTTTGCATTAGGAAAGTTCAGAGGAATCAGCTTGGTGAATGTTCTGAGTTGGAGGCTGACTTGTGAGGAAAGTCTGAGTAAGCTGCTCGGAATATTTTGGAGTTTTGAAGAATGCCATGCTCTTACAAAAACATAAGATTCTGAAGAGGCTTGACATGATGAATAAAGACAGAAGTTGCTGGAAAAGCTCAGTAGGTCTGGCAGCATCTGTGAAGAAAAATCAAAGTTAACATTTCGGGTCCGGTGACTCTTTCTCAGAAGATTTCTGAGAAAGGATCATTTGACCAAAACAACAATTCTGATTTTTCTTCAGAGATGCTGCCAGACCTACTGAGCTTTTCCAGCAACTTCTATCTTTATTCCCGATTTACAGCATTTGCAGTTTTTTTTGGCTTTTACTGACATGATGAATGCTGAGAGGATATTTCCTCATGAATCTGATAGTAGAAGACAAATAAGGGCTGTTCCATTTAAGATGGAGTGGAGGAAGAATTTCATTTTTCATAGGGTTATTTAATTTTCAGAATTCATTTCTCCAAGACAATGGAGGCTGTTTAACTCTCCTGTACCCTCCTTGTCTGTGTTTATGGGGGATAGGCAGAAGAGTGAAACTGAAGAAAATCGGCTAAGCCATTGAATGGAACAGTCTCGAGGGACCAACTGGCCAACTGTTCCCATTTATTATGTACCAATTTTAAAGAGTTAAAAATTCATTCATTCGAATGAGGTTAAAGGCATTAAAAACAAAGTTAAGGTGGTGGCATTGTGGTAACATCACTAGGCTGCCAATGTAGAGCCTCTGCCTAATGTTCTAGGATATGGATTTGAATCCCACTGTGGCAGATGGTAAAATCTGATTTAATTCCAGATTTCAGTTAATTAAGACAGACTAACAGCAACCAAGTAACCATTGCTGATTGTCATTAAAACCCAGCTGGTGCAATGTCCTTTAGGGAAGGACATCTACCGTACCTACTTGATCTGGCCTACGGGAGACTCTGGCCCCTAATAAAATGTGATTGGCTCTCCAGACCATTTCAGAGGACAGGTAAGAGTCAGAGTCAGAGTCAGTTGTTCAAAGCAATTAGGAATGCGCAAATGCCAGCGAAGCCTATATCCCATGTAAGAAAAAAAAAATGCAATCACTGCAGAGAGGTAGAAAACTAACCTTTTAAATCTGATGCTCAGAAGCAATTATTAATTCCCATATTGAATACTGTCAAACTGCCTTGTCAATTCTGCCTGATACTAAATTCTTGTTTACTACTCTTTGGATAGTTACTCAAATAAAAAATGTCATACTTACAACAAGGTCATGGAATTCCTTGGTTACCAAAAACGCTGTTGACCAGTTTGTCAGGACACATGCTCCACTTGCTATGCCTCTCGCCCTGACTGGAAATATCTCTGACATCACCAACCATGGAATAGGGCCACAGCCAAGTGCAAAACCTGAGGTGATCATTTTGTCTTTTTAAACAAAGGTTGTAATTTACAAACATTGCAAAAGTAACATTTACTGTTTTGTTCCAATTTTCAATCAGTTCCCAATATACACAGTTTTCTCTCTCCTGGGATATTTGCAGTTGGTGTTAAGCTCAGAATTGTCTACAGCAAATCTAGAACTAAGGAGCAGTCTCAAGATAAGGGGTCAAGAATGAGACAAGGAGTTATTTCTTCATGCAAGACTGTGAATCTACGAAATGATCAATTCCAGAGATACAATGACATTGTGGTTATTTTACTGGCTTAGCAATCCAGAAGCCTGGACAAATGACCTGGAGATAGCTCCAGGTATTTTTATGCATCTGGTGAATTTAAATGCAATTAAACCTTCCATATAGAGATAGTATTGGTAACGGTGACCATAAAATTAAGGGACTGTCATGAAAACACATCTGGATTGTTCATGTCATTTAGGGAAGGAAATCTTTGCTGTCCAGCCTACATGACTCAAAACCTACAGCAACATGGTTACGCCCCCTGGAAACTGCCTAACAGCAGGGCTGTTTTCAAAGAAAGTAGTTCACTATCAACCTCTCAAGTGCACTTGAAGATGGGCAATTAATGCTGACTGTGTTAGTGATGCTGTATTCAGGGAACTAATTTATATTTAAAAAAAAGAGAGATTGGGCTGTTTTTGTTCAGCTATTGAATATATTCAACGCTGGTTCAATAACTTATGAACTCCAAAGGAATGAAGGGATATGGGGATCGGGCAGGAGAATGGAGTTGATGTTGAAAATCAGTGACAATCATACTAAGTGGCAGAGCAGGATTAAGAGGCTGTAAGGCCTATTTCTGCTCCTTTCTTACCATAAGAGCACCTGCCACTAACCAACATGAATCACCCTATAAAGAAGTGAATGACAATGGAGTGTGTTCTGCCAATGGCAAGATGGCCAGCACAGCACTGACATCATAATACTGAGAGAGAACCTGGTGACTACTGTTCCCCTACCCCATTCTCAATGCTAGTAGATTAAAACAGCCCACCACCACCACCCCAGTTGCATCTCTCTGCCCCTTGCTCCAATACAGCATCCCTTGCTGCACAGCTTGCCACTCTGTTTCTTGCCAAGCACGTCAACCTCCTAGTGGTGGTTTTTGCACTATCATATAATAGTCCACCAGCATTAAAGGTCACTCTGTTCAAACACTTGTGCAAAGCCAAGTAAGTGGCATCTTGATAGACAGAGGTGACTGAACCTGACTCCACATATGCACTTTGCTAATAAATGGTACCATATTGGTTTCATTGAAGTTTTCTTTTCAATACTGGTAGGGTGACAAACTCTCATGATGGCAGGTAGAAGGGAATGCAACTTCAAAATGCCACCCACATCTGATGATACAATGAAAGCAATGACTTCAGTGATCTGGGTAGCAGGAATATGAAAACCAGAGTTCCCTAGCAGCACTCCCAGCTTCAGAGTCAAATTGCTAAAATGCTTTCATGTGTGTGTTTAGATAAAACATACAAGACTAAGAACACTTTGGGTTTCATAGCCTTGGAACATGGTGAGTTAGGGCCTAGAGTCACAGATGATTCAATTCACCTCAGCCGCAAGGCAGAGGGATTCAGTTATTGCTATAACTCCTGCTGGCCATGCAGCAATTACTACTATAAATTGTATACGAGGACATCAGGAGAGGTAAGGTTTGATTGCAGAAGAGATCCAAATCAGTCTGCTACAAGTGATGACCAAGGCTTATATGAATAAGGCTACGTTAGGTGGATGTCTGATGCGCCAGTAAGTCTGCTTTCAGGAGCATAATGACATGGAGAAAATATCATTGATACATAAAAACTTTCTTTAACAATTGTATTGCATCAGTAATTTTTCAAACATTGAAATTGGAAAATAGATTTGTTCCATTCCTCGGAAAATTCGTAACTCCCAGAAGATATAGCACAAGTAGTATTAAACTTACCTGTTATAAAGACGACTAGACAGACAAGAGGCAACCATGTTGGAACCTCAGAAACTGAATTCACAACAGTTAAAATGTCCGTTTTATGTAGAGAGGAGTTGTTGATATGTGCTTGCCAGATTTTAAAATATACCCCAAAGACTGCTGCACTGATGGACATGATCAACGCTGTAAATAAGCACAAAAATAGCAATTACTGGCTAGTTTGGACCTTGCAACAAGTAATTTTTAAAAACAATAACAGCCTGAAATCTCCATAATCCCAACAAATCTGAAATTTCTGGTGATTTCTGCATTGATTTTGCTGACAGGGGCCTTCCCCAGAAGTCAATATGGGTGATGTGGAGCTATGTTGCACTTAGATTTATGTCATAAATGTACATCCACGCAGTGCTGGCATACACTGAACATGTAGCCCCACCCTCCTGCACATGATCAGGTGTCAAAGGATTTTGTTTGATGCTTCTCTGAAATAAAATCAAATCATCAAGGAAATTCATGATACATATGAACCTTGCAGTTACAGGGGGACAGTCTAAAATTCCAGGCCTACATTTTCAAGGGCTGCTAAACAGTTGAGAAGTGAACTCACTGTGACAGACTTTCAAATTCTCTGTAATTACATCATTTCTAGCTCCCTATGTACTAATTTAGAACAACAAAATCTGAGACTAATTTAGGACAAGGCTACTTGAATGATGGACTATAATTTGGAGACAATCCCAGACTTGTTTCCTATTCCATGATTTCAAACACTCTTTCCTACAACTGCTGCACCAAGATCCAATTCTTGCACATACATTTTTAAGATCTACCCTGGCATGGCAGTTGGGGAACACACCTTTAAGTTGGGTAATGAACAGAAAGTCTTGGACACCTACTAAGGGCTCAAGGAGAAACAAAAAGATGTAGAATTTAACTGTCCTGGTAGGGATGTTCTTTAGTGATAAGCGGTCTCAGATTCTGCAATATACTAGTGCAAAACTCTGACTTCACAGAGACTAAACGTACACAACACTTGTTCACAATCTGACTTCAAGCTTAAGCTAGTAATAACCTCTGGGTTCTGACAATACATGAGCGATGACTCAAGCTTTGATCAAGATCATTTTCAGATTGCCAAGGCTGCTCTATTGTTCTGAAAGTCATGTTTTATTTCAAATTTAGACAGCTTGCAGTACCAGCAAAACAACACTACTTTTACACAAACAAAAACAGAAATTGCTGGATAAACCCAGCAAGTCTGTCAGCATCTGAGGAGAGAAATCAGAGTAAATGTTTCCGGTCCAGTTCTGAGGAAGGATCACTGGACCCGAAAAGTTAACTCCTATTTCTCTCCTCACATGCTGCCAGACCCGCTGAGTTTTTCCAGCAACTTCTGTTTTTGTTTCTGATTTCCAGCAGTTCTTTTGGTTTTTTACTTACTATTTCTACAGTTCATGCTGCCACTTGGGTTTTAAACTTGTGTTTGCTGAATTTGGAACAAACTGAAGTTCTTTCTTTTGGAAAAAGAAGGAAATGGGCTCACCTGATATTGCCAGGAGAAGTTTTCTCCCTGCTTTGTCCATGATGATAGCAGCCACAGCTGTGAAAACTACCTGAACAACACCAACTATTACAGAGCCCTCACTGCTGTTCTGAAAGAGAACAGCAGGAACAAAAATAATTGTTGCCATTCTAAGGATAAAAGATTATTAGTACCACCTAGAAGTGACTATAAACATTCCTATTCCATCCCCCACAGTTAAATTTGTTATCACATACTATAGTTGGTAAGTTTTATGACTTGGTTGATGCTGCTCTGAAGACCAGACTATATTATGCTCTCTTCTGATTCTATTCAACACGGGATTGCTGTAAAGCACATTTTTAACTAGACAAAAAACAGAACCTATTCTTCAAGGGATAGGTAACTGCAAACATTGAGTATTTGGTTTGGTGACTCAAATAAGCCTGGGGCAGGAAGTTTCAGATTGTAGTTACGGGTTGGGAGTTGAGTGAGAAAAGAAAAAAAACAGGTGAAGTGGTTAAAACGTTCCTTTGCATTATCTGGAGTTACCGACAGTTTAACTCGTGGCTAATAGTACCATAGGGACTCAAACTAAAATACCTTTTTAAACAATGCAGCTAGCACAGAGTTAAGAAATTAATATATACATTAAACAATAAAGTGGGAATAAAACTTCAATGATGATCATTGCTCATCTATCCAAGTTGAAATTATGTGTATTTTTTAAAAACGAAAATAACTCAAGGGATGTGGGCTTTGCTGGCTGGGCTAACCTTAATTGCCCATCCCTAGTAAAAACTGATACGCAAAGGCAATGGAACACAAAGAACAGTTTGTATTTTATGCAGCACCTCTAACATAATGAAACATCCCAAGTGCCTCATAGGAGCATCACAAAGCAAAATCTGACACCAGGTCCCACAGTGTCATTTGGATAAGAGACCAACAGCTTGGTCAAAAGGTAGGTTTTGACAGACGTTTTAAACGAATGATAGATGGAAAATTTAAGACAGAGAAGCTCAGAGCTTAGGCCCTTGACAGCTGAAAGTACATCCAATTGTTCAGGAATAAAAATCTAGGATGGTCAAGACAAGTCTTTTTGTTATATTTTTGACTATTTTATGTAGATATTAAACAATGTGCTTAGAAAGTTCTTTTGTAAAAGACACTTTTCTATTGTGACAACAGATGGTAGTAACTTTCTCCTGGTTAATCGGTGGAAAAAAAAAGGAATGGTTTTACTGCATCACTTAATTGCAAGTCTGTCTTGTATGACTCAGGCATACTTGCATTAACTTGGCCTGTGCTTTCAAAAATCCCTGTTCTAACAGAAGCCACTTATAAACCAGTCAGGTCAATCAAGAACAATTTGCATTAATGCAGTTTCATAATACAAGGATATATATACACGTTGACTACTTGTCAAATTTAAGAACCAGGGTAATAACTGAATGTCTTGCAAATGCAAACCTTTTTTGATGAAAGTATGAAAAAGACGACTGCTGAACAGTTAATATAAAACATGAATATATTGTCGCTGATTATACAACTTTATTACCTTAACATTTGCTTGTTCAAAGATGCTTTCAGCATAAAACATCACTGCATTGATTCCACTTAACTGCTGAAATAGCATCATAGATATTCCTATAAGTAAAGGCTTGTAAATTGTTGGATTTTTTAGCTCTGAAAGTGCAAACTTGGTATCCTACGAACAAAGTAGAAAAGGCATGAGCAGTTAAAATATAATGAATCAAACAACTGACATAGCTGTTACAGTATCTAGCATTGCCCAAAATCTGTACAGTTTTACATAGCAAACGGTCTGCATGCACTGTCAATACCCTTCTGAATTGGGTCACAACTACAAAATTTAGCCCAAGTGTAGATGAACACAGAATTCCTGATTCTGTCAATAGGTTGTGTTATCACCTACACCCAATGCCTTCTCATCCACCCCTCAAAAAGCTAGCAATGAGATCAATTAATTTTGAGAGAAATTTAGCTTGTTATATTGCTGTTAGAAACAATAAAAGCAGCTTTGCTCAATGAGGTGCGAGGGGGTTTTCAGCATCAATTTGAATAATAACCAAACAATGGATCTGCCTATTAAAACTATGGAACAGTATTATACTTGCTATTTAAGTGTGATGAATTGCCGAATTTTTCAAGTTTGGGCAAATATAACTGAATTCCCTGAAGGTGAAAAACTTACAGCTTCTATTTTCAAATCACACTTTTAATACAGCAAACAAAACTGAAGTGATTGGATTATTTCTGCTTTTCATTTATTGCTTGGACAGCTAAATGTCATCATTGCAGCTCTATGACAGGAATCCTCATTAAGCACAAGTGCGTGCCAAGAGGCACGTCTCAGGTTTTTCTTCACAGTGGTGTATATATAGGGTCTAATTCTATGTGTTTATTGATGGCCTTCTTGGTGGAGAACCAAGCCTCTAGAAATTCTCGTGCTTATCTCAGTTTGGACCACAGCGAGGAAAAACTGGAAATGACATAACCAATTCTAACAGATCCCAGAGTTTAAATATCAGACGGGAAAATACAACAGCGCTTCATGAGAAGCTGTACTAATGATGTTACCCAGCAGGGTAATGAAACGTCTGTGAACTAACGAACCAGCTCGGCGAGCAAACCAACCACAGCATGGAGTGAAGCAGTTTGAATTTCAAAGTTTATTCAAAATGTGCGACCAACCACTTAAAAAGGTTTGAGCTTCATTCAGTACAATTACCTGCTCTTCACAATTTGCTTCAATCTGTCTGCATTCCCATTCAGAATCTACTTCAGGTCCTCTCAGCCATGCCAGGACCCTTAGTGCTTCAGCACGTTTGTTCTTTCTAAGCAGGTGCCGTGGAGTTTCTGGCATGAAGCACATTAGTACGACCATGAGGGTTGGTGGTAAGGAACATAACACAGCAAGCCAATACCAGGTCAAGACCATTCCTGACAAAAATAAAACAAGTCATGATGTAGTTACCAGTAAAATAGTTGAGCTACTGCAATACTGATCATCCTTAAGGGGCGTGTGGATGTGGAAAGAATGTTTCCTCTTGGAGAATCTAGAACAAGGTGGGGCGGGGGTCACCGTTTAAAAATAAAGGGATCGCCAGTGTAAGACAAACAGAAGAATCCCCCTCCCCCCCAGGACCACAATTAGCCATGATCTTACTGAATGGTAGAGCAGGTTTGAGTGCCATGTGGCCTACTTTTACTTTTAACTTACATGATCACAGAACTGAAGGTTAGATCAGAAACAAGATCCAATCTCCAAAACAATTCACCCATTTTTAATTGCCCAGTGCGAGCAGGAAATAAGTTGATACCAAACTTTACTTTGAGTGATCTAGCTGTGGTTATACAGCACTGGCAAACCAATTAGGTAGATCATATGCATGCACCCATACTATACAAGTTATGCATATTTTAATGTTACTATTTGATGATCTCATGTTGCATAATGTTATATGCACTTGGTGGCTAATTTATCCATCCACACATGTACGTTTTCCCTTTACTGTGCAGAGTTAGGTCGGTTCTTCAAAAAGCCACAAGCTGGTATTTTAAGCCCAAAATGATTGCCACATAAATAGTACTGAACCCAGGCTGATTTCATAGCAGGCTGAGTTCAAATGCATCCAAGCAAAATTTGTCAATTAATTGCAAGATCGAGTCTCTCCCACTGCAACCATGTTCAAAATTCACAACATTCATTGTCAATGCTATTTATTACCAAAGTGGAAATGCTGCCTGATTTCTACAGAAACAGAAGACTAATAGAGTGGGCTTCAATGTAGCATGCCTTTTCTTTGAAAGGAGTATACTTAGACAACTAGCACTGTCAATTTATACCAATTGAAGTGATCAAAACGATACTGAAAATAAATTGCAGGTAAAGCCATTATGACCACTACTTTACATATCTCAATGCCTTTCCTAAACAAAATGACAAATTGTCAGCTGGAAAATTATAGAGCAAAGATGCAAGATTCATGGTGAGCAGAGAAGTAACAAGGTAGATGTGACAGGGAAATGCACAAAAAAGTTGCAAAATAGCTCAGCTTTTTGAAAATGCAATCTTAAAAGAAAAACGATGCATTTCTGCCCAGTAATACCTCTAGGTTTTTTCTTGGAGGAGGTGGTAGAAGCAAGAGAGCGCGAGAATATACACACACAACCATGCAATGCCTCTCAAAATTGGAGGGTCACCTTTTTACTTGTTTCAAATGATGCAGGCCAGGAGTAAAAAAATTAGCCCAAGTATGGTAGAAGGGCAAATAGTTCATCTTTGATGGCCCAGTTTAATTGAATTATTTGTTTGAACCTCTTGTAGTCTTGAACTGTCAAATGAGGAACCAAAGATTTTCTCAGTCAGCAACTTTAATGTCATAAAGTGCACAGGAATTGCTGTCTTCAGCGCAAGCAAGTCCACGGTCTCGTCTTAATGACTTTGTAACAAAAGCTCCCTTGAAAACAGTTTGGGAACGTGAACAATGATCCCAGTCTTTCATCAAACCAAATCAACATCAAGGAGGTCATTTGCGTGCGTGTGCAAAACTAATTGCCTGCTGTCACAGTTATCATATGGTTGCATCTGCAAGTGCACAGACAGATTATGGCAGCCACATTTAATATGAGCACCCCATTTCAGCACTAGTAGCACACACTGAAAAGAAAACCTTAATTCATACCACCGACATATGCACCCATGATTCCAGTTACCACCATCAGCTGAACACTGGATCCTAACAGCCCTCGTATTTTAGGGTGGGCCATTTCAGAAATGTAGACCTAGAAAAGAAAACATTATTGCACATCAATTATGTAATTTTTTGTTGGGTAAACCCAAAATGAAGAGGGCTTACACCAGTTGCACCAGCACAAGGAATGTCAATACTTTGTGATAACTATTGCTCAGTCCTCTTATTCCCAAGTTGTTGACAGACTCCTAAGGAAGCAATAACAAAATCAATTTTCAGGAATGTAAACTGAGAGTGTTTCTTAACAATACATTATCAATTTCTCAGCTCAGCTTGTCTTCTATTGGTTGACTTTGTTGGTTAACTTAAGCCAGAATAAGTGGCAGGAGTTTTAAATACTTTTATGCTGATAGTTTTTTCAAATCTCACTCAATTCATGTAAATATTTAATTACATGTGAGACAATTCAGGTTCAGAAAGCAGGCATTTCAGGCCAGTTAGGAAGCTGATGCTTTCTGACATTAGGCAGAGGCAGTTCCACAGATTTATTCATTTGATTTCTGTGGAGATGATCACAAGGACAGAGAATTGCTTGCATAATTCAACTTATGTGGACCATACATGAGTCATCACCATGTGACGATTGTTTCCCTCAAGAAAACAAAGAGACAAAGAATGAATTTTGATCATTTTAGCCTTTATCCTGCGCTGAGTACATAAGTACAAGTACATTTTTGTTTCTGCAAACTTTCTTATTGGCTTCAGGTTTGGTTCTTTTGAAAAACCAGCCTAGTATGCATTTCTCTCAATTTGTTCCTCTTGTATTTGACATAATGATATATTTATTTATTTGGAACATTTGGAATAGCATTCATCCAGCTGAATTTTATAAATAGGAAATGCCACAACAGAATTTTTATTTATAGATGAGATCGCGAACAATTTTGAAATGGTCAGAGTTATGAAATAGCTAATATGTAGAGAATCCTAGTTAATAATTGTGGATAGTTTGACCTGTACGTGCAGAGTTTAACTGTGATCATACAAAATGTGTTGAGTAAAATGCCCAATTCCTAGTTTATACTGTAACTTTCATTCCAACCTATACAGTCAAGACTTTTTGGATCAAACAGATTGAATATGATTTTAAACTTAGACGAGAGATCTGTAAATATAAAACTAGGCAAAATGCCATTTTAATGCAGTCAAACTTTCAGTATTCTGAACAGATTCTTGTTTTTGTCCAATGTAATACAAAAATTCAAGGACCTTTACTTATTAACCAAATTGCGCAAATTTGTGCAAAAATGGAGTTGATAGCAATGGCCCAATGTAGTTGTGATGTGAAAGCTGTTCACATTGATCCCTGCTAACAATCACATATGAAACTCGCAATAACGAAAACAACTGTGGGTAATTTTAACCTAATTCACTCAGTACAAAAATAGACAGATTTGGGTCAGAAACTGGTTCTACTTTGCACTGATTTGGCCCTCGTGTGAGCAAATGAATAAATATGGGCAGGGTGTAAAAAAAGTTTTTTTTTTAAATTTCAAAAACATATTCCATTCATAAGAAATCTTTATACACTTACTTAGTTACTACAGCAGTTCAGTTCTATATAGTTTTTGCATATTGAGGACAAAAACCCAAGACATTTCTTACTTATACAAGACTATATTTACATGCATTTGAGGCTCCACGACAATCCAATAACTGAATGACCCCCAACTAACTTCAGCAGAAAGACATCATACAGTGGACGTTCCCCACAGCAGCCCCAAGCTTTACTCCTTCCCTCAGCATATAGTTCTGGACCTTGGAATGTGCCAGTCTGCAACATTCAGTCGAGGTCAACTCCTTGCTCTTGAAGGCCAGCAAATTTCGGGCAAACCAAAGAACATCTTTCACCAAATTGATGGTCCTCCAGGAGCAGTCGATGTTTTGTCTCGGTTTGCATCCCAGGGAACAGCCCGTAAAGCACACAGTCCTGCTTCATGGAGCTGCTTGGGATGAACCTTGACAAAAACTACTGCATCTCTCTCCAGACTTCTTTTGCAAAGACACATTCCAGTCGGAGATGTGAGACAGTCTCTATCCCCCACACAACCACTGTGAGGACAGTGTGCAGTGTTGCAGAGCATCCAGGCGTACACGAAGAATCTCACAGGTAGTGCCCTTCTCACCCCCAGCCAAGCGGTGTCTTAGTCCTTGTTGGAAACTTCTGGCAATGAGGTATTCTGCCAAATGATTGACAGCCTGCTGTATTAAAGAGCAAATCTCCTCATTACAATTATCCACATTGTTTCCTTCTATCTCAGCCAGCTTCTCCTTTTGGTCATAGAGTTTACACTTTGTTCCTTCTACTGTTGACCGTAACTGATCTCAAATCATATGATACATATTAAATAATAGAAAGGCACCTCACAAGAACAAGACTGCAGTTTTTAAATTTTCTACACAGAAAATTACAATTTATTAATCCTAAGGGCTTCTAATGGGATGAAACTTAAGTGTTTGCCATGTTCCAATTCAACCTAGAAGGCTGCCAAATAGGACTAAGATAGCAATTTAATTTCCACTGCTAATCTTTGACAGAAGAGAAATGGGCACAAAGAGGATAGTAACTAACACAACTCTGTAATTGGTAAAATACAGGAGCACATGTTGAGTGACTGCAATGTGTTAATTATTGATTTGGTCTTTTACATTCTTCCAAAATGACATTTCAAAAACTTTTGCTCAGAGCTATTATATAGATTAGCTGGTAGCCATCAATAATATCTATTTTCGAAGGGGGAGCTTCCACATTGCATTGGCCTTTATTCTGACCACAAACGATAAGGTCTAGAGCAAGCTGTCCAGTAATCATGGAGTTAGTCTAATATGTCTCCAGTGCTGTCCACAGGTCACAAAACGGGTGTCAGCAGTAAGCATTGCAGGAGTCGTGACTCGCACAGCACAACTGATGGATGTGTCAGAGGGTAACGGGCCAGATCACAGGGAAATACAGAAACACAAATTGTAAGGGGGAGGTGTTGGAAGGGAATTCAGTATACTTGGAAATTCATTTTACTTTAGTGTACTTTTACATATTCTTGCAAGGCTGTCAATAATTCAAACATTTTTACATAAATACAAGAACCTTAATCAAAGTAGACACACGGCACTTACAGGCACAACCAGTGAGGTGACTCCACTGGCCAATCCAGTCAATATTCTACCACTGTACAGCATCCAGACATTCGGTGCTGCAACGATTATCGTAAACCCGACAACATACGGAACAGCACAGCTCATCAGGGTCAGCTTTCTGCCAATTTTATCAACAATCCATCCTCCAATTATGCCACCCACAGCTGCACCTATCGTAACTAAGGACTACAAAAAAAGGCAGGTATTATTTTCATTTCCATTTAGTATTTCAATTGTTTCATTTACATTTATATTAGCTAGGCAGAAAAAAAAACAACTCTCAATATTGAAACGATTCATGCAACTTAATCAAACAGCTTAAAATGTATCCTTATTCATGCAGACATTGCACGCTATCAAAGTAATATGAATATTCATATAAAATTTCAACATGCAGCCCCACAGTGACAAAAGGCTGATTAATTTAGAATGTCTGTTGCCACAAAAGGCTAGCTGACAGACGAAGTGGGGCAAATGAAGGAGATAAGTAAGCTGCTGAAAAATTCTTTGAACAATGAATTAGTAACATGCTTTTTTCCCAGTCCTATTTTAGGTACCACCATAATTGTTACAAGCTTACTTGCTGATGGGTGGGAAGAATGGAAAATCAAAGAGGTGAATGAAACACCCAATATCAGATTCAGCAGCAAGATGAGTACCTCAATTAAGAGGGACACTAAAAATTAAATATTTAAAGAATCTGCAAAACCAAACATACAAAGGTTGAAAAGAAATCCATTGATTATAAAAGGTGATGGCTTACCCCAAACCAGGAAGCCTGAGTGGAATCAAGATGCAGATGCAAGTTTGAATCAGTTTGCAATTCCGGAATGGCAGGAGAACTGTAGCCAAGGACAAAGCCAAAACTAAGAGGCCCCAGAACAGCAGCAAATGTAGCCAGGTAGAGATTCCTATTCCACACGTTACTGTGAAAATACAGGGAAACACAGCCAGCCTTTAATCCAAAAATGTTTGAAGATTTGAACATTTAACACTGTGGGACAAGGATGTAAACCATGCAAATAACGAAAGTAAATTATGTTGGTCATATCTCATTTTGCAAGACAATAAGCAGGATTCCTTCATTATAAACAGAACATGAACAACATATTCGCAGGGGCACAGATAACCTTTGTTAGAATGGGACACTAGCAGAGGGCGAAAGATACGGAGGGGTTAAGTTAAACGCAGATACTTGCAAATCCAGTGTCACTGAGCTGCTTTCTAGCTATATACTTTCCATTTTCTATTCACTGGAAAAATTCCACTTGTGTCTGCCCGTAACTCTGAACCAATTTTCTTTTGAGCCTGACAGGGTAATACACAGAGGTGGCTGATGGCATTTCTTCATTCTTACAGAAATGCGCCTGTGTAATGCTGATAATAAGAGTTTTTTAAAAAACAAGTTGATGCCTTCAAAAGGCAAGGTTTAAAACTAAACAAAAATCAGCAT